GCCCAATGTCTAATGTCCAAAGAAGATCTTGAACATAGGGAAGTGGCTTCAGATTCTCAGTGCTGTGCTTTAACCCGCTGCGCCACCAGGGAGGGCCTAAATTCGATTTTTTAATGTTAATTTGTTCGATTATGCCAAACACAGATTTATTCCTTGTCAACATCACCATTTGATGTGCATTAATACGGCTCTTCTGTTCACAGAAATTCAGGTGACGAGTTCTGTTCCTTTAATGACATAGTTGTGGTCTAGGCATCTTCAAGGCCCATTACATCAGCAGGCGAGAAAGAAGGAAGGTCTCTCTCCTTGGCTAGCAACATGGTAGGTTGCTGCCTGCAGGCAGCTGGTCTTTACAGTCAATGGCTGACTCAGAACCATATCAGAGAATTCTCCCTCCTGGCAAGTCCTACCCTTTTCTGCTCTCAGGCCCTCAGCTCAACTGCTCAATCTTCCTTGAGGCAGACAAACTTTCCTCTAGTGCAGTCCACCTTGGTCCTTGTGGTGTAAGGGTATGCTTTGACCTCACCTCCATGTTCTGGAATCTTCTCAGGGGTGTCTTGTTCTTGAACAGTTGTTAGTTGTTCTTCTCATGAGGGAGGAGCAAAGTCAGGAATAAACTGTCACCATCTTGGTGACTTGGCTAAATCCACTTTTTTTTTAAAGATTAATTTATTTGTACATACAGAACTGGGGTACAGGCCAGAGGCTCAGGGGCGACGAGAGGCTTCACCAGAGACAGAGTGGGGAGCAGAACAGGCAGATCGACGAAGTACACTGCTGAGGGGAGCAGCGGGCGGGTCAGGAGAGGTCTGCCGCGCCAGGTGGTCACCCTCCGGGGCAGGTGGGAATCGAACTCATGCAGAAGTGGCTTTAGCTTCTCAGCGCTGCGCCACCAGGGAGGGCCTAAATCCACTTTTTAAAAAAAGAACCATGAGTGTAAATCACAGTGACTGCTGAGAAAGAAATACAATTTAGACGGGGCTAGGAGTAATCTATAAGAGGAACTTCACTTATCTGACTCTGTTAAGTACATCTGGTGACAAGATACCTCTGATTAAGATAGATAAACACTGGATTTTTACATAAGTGTGTTCTACTTTTGTATTCAACATTTTAAAATAAAAACTGTGGGTTGGAATAGACATTCGAACATGGATGAGAGACAGTGTGAATGTTAAATCAATGGATGGAATATGAGGGGAGATGTGGGCCTGCTACGTGCAGCAGACCAGACCTACCAGGCTCCTTTCAAGTTAAACAAAAGCAGGGCCCTTGGCCGCCCAGTGCAATGTGTGTACAGCAGGAGGTATGTATCCCCCAGGACACGCTGGGGGACGGTGGCTGAGGTACCTGCGTCCGAGACCGATCAGTGAACCCACTGTCAAAGAGACTGGAACCATGACTGGGGGTCAGAATTATGACTTACCTGATCAATAACATAGCCCTACTGGCCAGTTTGACCTGTCCTTTTCTCTCCGTTCCACTATCAATGAGAGCCCAGGACCTTGCTCCTGAACAGCACCTACAGCCCGCTCCATGACTCCCATTTCTCTTCTTTTTTTAAATATACAATCTATTTATTTGTATATATTTTACAACCTTGTTCATTTTTGCACAATGTTTGCTTTCATCTCTCAGATGTAGTCTCCAGTGAATTGCCACCACCATTCACCCCGGCACCCTCTCCATAGTCGCTTTTGCTCTTCTCCCCTTCCCCCGACCCCTCTCCCAACCACTCCCCTGCAGAATATCACTGATTTCTAGTTGTCTGGGTTTTTTTTGTTTTTTCCTAGATCCTCTATATTCCTCCTATAAGGTGAAACCATATGGCATAACAGGTAAGATGTGGCATCAACACAAATGCCCCCAAGTAGATGACTGACTCAAGAAGATGTGGTCTATATACACAATGGAATACTATGCAGCAATCAAAAATAGATAAGCTCATGCCATTCTCAACAAGATGGATGGAGCTATAAGATATTATGCTCTGTGAAATAAGCTAGAAGGAAAAAGAAAAATACCGTTTGTCTTCTGTATCAGTGCAGCATTGCTGACGCAACAGGGAGAGAAGAATAAAGGTGACACTGAGGTGATGGGACCACACGCACCACGTTAGATGAAGGTCAGTTGGAGAGAGGAGGTTCAGGGAAAAGAAGACATGCTGGATGTGGACTTTGTGCATGGTAAAGAGCTGGGAGATCCCCTGAGAGCGACATGCACACAACAGATGGTAGAGGTGAACCTCAGGCAGGAAAGCAAGAAAACAGTGAAATTGTTGGCACCGACTTATTAGTAAATGCGTCAGAGTAGATGGCATGCTCGGAAACAGAGACAAGGAAGACGGCTGGGGCAGGCACTCAAGAATGAGCCCTCCTTTTAGAGAAGTGAAGCTGAGTTGAGGGAAAGGCTGAGAAAGACTGAGAAAGCTGAGGACAGAAATGTCCTGGGAGGGAAGTTTCAGAAGAGAAAGCTCAATGTCAGAGATAATAAGGACTGAAATTCTCTTTAGGCTGGATCATGTTTTCATTTACAAGCAGCTTTCTGCTGAAATTAGGAGAGTGCAAAGAACAAGAATAAAAGAATGAGCTGGTTGGTCTCCCTGGTGGCGTGGGGGTTAAAGTCTCAGTGCTACCAAATGATTACCAGCCACTGTGGCCTGAGTTCGATCCCCAGCCAGGGAGCTGACCTACAGAGCATGACAGACTTTTCCTGTCTCGCCCGCTGCTCCCCTCAGCAGTGTGTTTCAGTAGGTCCACCTGTTCTGCTCCCCACTCTACCTCTGGTGAATCCTCTCATCCCCTGCACCTCTGGCCGATACCCCAATTCTTATATGTATAAGTCAATAAAATAAATCTTAAAAATAAAAAAGAAAAAGCTGGTTGAGTAATGATGGACAATGTTGTACAGGAGGGTTGAGATATATTTTAGGATCTACAAGACTATCCTTCTGTCCCTGTAGACAGATGTCTGAAGTCAGTGAGAGAATAAATGCAAGACAAGGAGAGTTGATAAATACTTAGAGGCTTGAGGTAAACTCTTAGAAGTAATTCCTGTGAAAACACTGTCAGAAGCCCAATGTCTAATGTCCAAAGAAGATCTTGAACCAATTACAGCAGTAAACAAGCAGGAACGTTCCACTTCTGCTACAATAACTACAAAGAAACATAAGTTTAGCGGGAGGAGCGCTAAATATAAAACGCTTTACCAACTGACAAAAAGCAATACCTATGGCTGGGAAAGAATTGTGCAAAAAGATCATATTAAGATAATGGGACTAAGGGCATTCTTTGTTGTTGTATTGGTCTTTTCAATAACCAATGTTTAGAAAAAGGCAGTATCTCCCCGCAAGGAGAGAGAGGGGACGAGGGATGACCAGGCAGCTTGCCTGGCTTCCAAAATTAGGTTCACTCCTCCCCTCCCTGGTCTCAGCATGGGGTGCAGAATTTGGACTATACATCTGAATATCTCAACAGAGAAAGATGAGCTGGAACTGCCGTAGGTGGGGAGGTTTTCAGACGTCTTGGGGCTGATGCTGGGCCCGCAGCAGCAGGAACAGAGTTCGTCAAAGGCAGGAAAAAGGGAGGGGACGGCATCATAGCAAAAGCAAAGGCAAGAAGGTCGAGTGAGGTGAATTTGGGCACAGATGGGGTGATTTGGCTAGTTTGAGAAAAAGATAACTTTAAAAAAAGCTAATGTGGGGAGAAAAGAGCAAACGGGCAGAACACGGTCAGACGGGAGTAAGCAAAGAGTTTAGACGCCATGATCTAAACGGAGTAAGTACCTGAAGGGACCCCAATTCCTACGGAAGACCCCTCCTGCCTATCAAAGGGAAGCCAGTGGAAGGAGAGGCACCCACAAAGTGCCCTGACTTTGGAAACATTTAAAATCAGGATCCTGGGGCGGGGAGGTCTGTCCCTCCTGCCCACTTTGGTAGCAATAACGGCCAGTCAGACTGTTCCAGGCTTTGCCTGTGTCTCTGTCCGCCTCCCTCCGCTAGCACACAAGGTGCCTCCACCCACTGGCTCAATCCCTGCCCGCTGTACTCCCCACAGTCAATCCCCACCGTAGTCCCCAAGCCATGGCTGGTTCTGAGGCTGCCAAAAATCCACAGTAGAAACACAGCAACAGTTGGTGAAAGCTGTTTTTAGAATCCACCTCATCCGCTGGCATTCTAACTCCAACTCACATATGACCGTGTTCTGAAACTCATTAACTCTGGCTCCTATTCAGCATGAGAATAATAGCTTCACTCAGCTGCTTCTTCCACCTTGTGCGTTCCCATCAATTCCATGGATAGAGCTAAACCCACCCTCATCGCACATCTGTCCTGACTTCCCTTTCACTCAGCTCCCCAGACAGACACCCTCCCAGGAAAGAGGTGTGCTTTTGCACCTCCTGGAGTTGAGGGTGGGGCATCCCCACTCCTGAAGTCTGCCCTGGCCTCAGAGCCCTGCGTCAGGGCTCCCGTCAGCCCCGGTGAGACTTCTGTCACTGCGGTGACCTTGCGGTAGAAATCTTCCGTGTCTGTAAGTTCTTCAAGGACAGAGAACTTCTTGTTTACACCTTTTCCCCTAGTGTCTGGTGCAGTGCCTGGCAGGCTCCAAAGCTCAATTAGTGCTTGTTAGCTGAACACAAGCAAGTACAGAGCTAAGATCCGAGCCAGTCTCTTCCTCCTCTCAGTCCTCTGTGCCCCAATTAGCAATCACCTAATTAATTAATCAGATTAACTCAGTGAATTAATCTAAGGGGAGCTTGAGTCTGTCGACAGTTCTTTGGTACCAGGGCCAGAAGACGCCTGGCAGCCACTTACCCATTCCTACACAGACTTCACAAATGTCAAGAAGTGCTAGGGCCCTCTGCTATATTTATTGATGCTCTAACTGAAGACTGCCTGCGAAGCATGAAAGCTCATTTCAGACATGACATTACTTTGGCCCTGTGCTGAGTTCGGCCAGCTACGGTAACAATTACTACGTTTGGTGAACTGAGGCTCTTTGCAGAGAGAGGAAGAAAGGTCTCGGCCCTTCAGGAAATGACAGTCTCCAACCATAAAAGGCCCTTAAAGTTTTGACTCTCCTAAGATCTACATGAGCCTCCTGAAAAGCTGGGTGATAACATTATCTGCCCACAAACAACTCTGTGTGGATCTCAGTCACCGCTGAGTGGTGAAGAAGTTTCTAGAGCAGCACTGTCCAGAAGAATGTGCTGTGAAGGTGGAACTGTTCTCAGGGTCTGTACCAACCAGCGAAGTGGCCACTAGTCACACAGGGCTGTGAGTGCTCAGGGTTTCACTCATGTAATTGAGAGATTAAATTCTTAATGTTAATTGTTTTTTGTTTGTTTATGATATTTTTTTATTATTATAGTCTATTTTTACATCATTTTGTGCCTTTTTCCAGCTCAGTTGTAATACCCTGTGCCGTCACTGTAGTCCAGTGCACTTTCCCCTCCCACCGTTTTTGATCCCATTCCCCACTCCGCCCCGAAAAATGACTCTGGTATATAGCTGTTCATCATTATTATTCCCCCCGCCCTTGTCCTTTATACTCCTGCTGAGAGAAACCATCCAGTATTTTTCTTCTTTCTGTCTTATTTCATTAAACATGATCCCTTCCAGCTCTGCCTATATTCCTGCAAAAGGCCTGAGTTTATCTTTTCTGATTGCTAAGTAATATTCCATTGTGTAGTGCCCTCCCTGGTGGCACAGCGGGTTAAAGCACAGCACTAAGAAGCTAAAGCCACTGCAGCATAAATTCAATCCCAGCCCCGGAGCTGACCCACAGGGCGCGGCAGACCTCTCCTGACCGGCCCACTGCTCCCTTCAACAGTGTACTTCGTCAGTTGGCCTGTTCTGCTCCCCACTCTATCTCTGGTGAATCTTCTCACTGCCCCTGCACCTCTGGCCTGTACTCCAGTTCTGTATGCAGAAATAAATAAGTTAAAAAAAATTCCATTGTGTATATGCAATGAAATATTACTCAGCAACAAAAAAAAGAAACACATGTCGATTGCAGCAAATTGGATGGAGCTGGAAAACATCATGCATAGTGACATAAGCCAGAAAGAAAAAAGAAAATTACCAGATGGTTTCGCTCATAGGAGTATAATGGACCTGGTGAGAAAATAATAATAATGAACAGCTATATACCAGAGACATTTTGTGGGAGTGGAATGGGGAATGGGATCAAAAACAGGGTGGGGGGAGGGAAGTGCACGGGACTATGGTGATGGCACATGGGTGATTTGGTGACAGGAAACACATGGGGATTAGGGATTACAATTGAGATTGAAAAAAAATGTACAAAATGATGTAAAAATAAACATATTATGTAAAAAAGCGAGATTGATACATATTTAGCTACATAAGATTTGAAAGCTTTACTTTCAAAGTCTTAAAAATAAAGATATAACACAAATGCCACAAAATAGTTATGTATTTGAAAAATATGTTACTATATCTACTATATAAAAGTCTATTGTGTCAATAAGTTAGTAACTATCCCATCATAAAATGGACAAGTCACACACACAAAAAAATTCCATTGTGTATATGTACCACATCTTTTTAATCCAGTCATGTACTTTTGGGCATTTGGGTTGATTCCATGTCGTTCCTATTGTAAATAAAGCAGCAGTAAAATGTTAATTGTTTTTAAAGATTTATTTTTACTCATGCATACAAGACTGGGGTACAGAGGTGCAGGGGGTGAGGGGATAAGAGGATTCACCAGAGACAGAGTGGAGAGCAGAACAGGCAGATTGACTGAAACACACTGCTGAGGGGAGCAGCGGGGAGACAGAAAGGTCTGCTGTGCCATGTGGGTCACTCCCTGCCCGGGCATCAAACTCCTGTACACAACATAGTGTTGGATGAAAATAAGTTAGAGAATCAGGAAAGTCACTCAGTATGGAAATCGACATTAAGGAAATTGCTACTCAATTCTTCACTGGAATTTTACTTAAGTAACTTGGAACTTTGGGGGTCCTCCCTGGTGGTGCAATGGGTTAAAGTGCAGCACTACGAAGCTAGCCACAGGTGCTTCAGCACAAGTGCAATCCTCGGCCAGGGAGCTGACCCACATGGCGCGGCAGACCTCTCCTGACCCGCCCGCTGCTCCCCTCAGCAGTGCACTTTCTCAATCTGCCTGTTCTGTTCCCTTCTCTGTTTCTGGTGAAACCTCTCACACACACCCCCACCTCTGGCCTGTGCCCCAGTTCTTGTATGCATAAATAAATATTTTTTTAAAAAAAGACAGTTGGAACTTTGTTTTAAAAAAATGAAATTGGCTTTGAATAGAATGTTAGAGAATTTTCCTTGTCACTGTTAAGAATAGTACCTATTGAACTCACAGAATTAATTTGGGGTCATGCCATATTTCTAAATTGAACTTTAATTTTTTATTACACATTGCTAAAAAAAGCAAATTATATTGAGAAGTTATTAATTTTAAAATTATCTGTAATTTTACTATCCCCCCAAAAAACATGGTTAACATTAGATTTCTGCTCTTCCAGATATTTTAAATGTACACACACACACACACAAATACTAATAGAAAATTAGGATCGGATTTTCCATAACAGCTTGTTACAAACACCCTTCCACCTTAACAAATCATGTTTCCAAAGCATCAGTTTTTGACAGTGGCACTGTATTCTGGGATATGCAGCACTAATCAGGAGCTGTTGAGTGACTTAGGTGGCTTTCAATATTTAACCATTCTAAGCAAAGCTGTATCAAACATTGTGCTGAGTGTATTTATTTTGTTAAAGATTTATTTTTATTTCTTTATGCACAGAAGAACTGGGGTACAGGTCAGAAGTGGGTGGAGTTGAGAGGATTCACCCGAGAAAAAGTAGGGAGCAGAGCAGAACAGATAGGAGAGACCTGCTGTGCCATGTTGGTCAGGTCCCTCTCAGGGATGGAACTCATGTGCAGTGTCTGCAGACAGTTTCATAGTGCTGAGACTTAAACTCTTGTGCCACCAAGGAGGCCTCAAATTAATTCTTTAAATGTTATCTACCCTGACTTAATTGCCCAAAGTAATCTTCACTATTAAAACTCAAAAATGAAAGTATTTACATAGTATTCATTGTTTTCAATGCTAATTTTTGACAGGACCCTAGACAGGATTTTGAACTTCAGGCAGAGTTTATTATTTCCAGTTCTAGAAAGTGCTTGTTATAAACCAGGCTAAACTGCTAGCCTAGTGTTTTCTCAGAAATTCCTATTTTTTTTTGTTTTGTTTTTTAAAGATTTATTTATTTATACATACAGAACCCAGGTATAGGCCAGAGATGCAGGTGAGAGAACTCACCAGAGACAGAGTGGGGAGCAAAACAGGCAGATCAGCAAGGTGCATTGCTGAGGGGAGCAGCGGGCGGGTCAGCAGAGGTCTGCTGTGCCATGTGGGTCACCTCCAGGGCCAGGAATTGAACTCGCACTGAAGCGGCTGCGGCTCACTTGCAGTGCTGCACTTTAACCCGTTGCACCACAAGGGAGGGCCCAGAAATTCTTTTTTTTTTTTTTTTTAAAGATTTATTTATTTATTTGTGCATACAGAACTGGGGTATAGGCCAGAGGCTCAGGGGCGGTGAGAGGCTTCACCAGAGACAGAGTGGGGAACAGAACAGGCAGATCAAGAAGTACACTGCTGAGGGGAGCAGCGGGCGGGTCAGGAGAGGTCTGCCACGCCATGTGGTCACCTCCGGGGCAGGCGGGAATCGAACTCATGCGGAAGCGGCTTTAGATTCTCAGTGCTGTGCTTTAACCCGCTGCGCCACCAGGGAGGGCCCCAGAAATTCTTTTTACAGTTGTATCTCTGTGCTCTATTGCCTAGATCAATCATTTTGTTGAAACTATTAGTTTATAATTATCCCTTCTATATCTTAAATTTGAAATCTCAATAAAGATAACACATCAGAAACTACACATAACTTAAGCATGCTGTTGACTTAACAGGTTAAAATACAGCCTTTCACATATAACGAGGTAGCAACTAGTGCAACTATAATTTTCTAAGTATTTGCCCAGAAAAATCCCTTAGGCAACAAGATGCTTTCTGGGCCTTTTCACTAGTATGTGCTCCTGACGGGCTACTGGCCACACCCTGAGGTAGGCAGTGTTCAAGGACTGCCCACCTGCTCACTCTGGGCCACATGAAATTTTGGAAGCCTAGTATATTCACCTCTAGAAATGTGATCTAAGAAAATAAGCAGACATGGGTATGATGATTTACGTACTAAACTGTAGCCAACAGTAAATCCTCAAGGAAAGAACTATGATTAAATAAATGATACACAGAACATTTAATGCAGTCATCAAGTCTAATTGTGATACTTTCAATTATGTAGGAAAATGTCAGCTAAATAGCATAATACAAAATTGTATTTACATAATCCCCAGTTTAACAATGGTTCGATGTAAAGACTTTGACTTTTATGAGGGTGTGAAAGCAACAGGTGCTCATTCCACAGAAACGGTACTGGGTATCTGGATGTTTACCAGCTTCCCTGTGGCCAGGGCAGAGTCAAGGGACAGCTAGCAGTCAGTCAGGAGACAGGAGGGTACTATACAGTGGAGACTGCAATGGACACTCTATAGCGGACAGTGTTGTACCATTTTTTGGATGCAGATGGTCCCCCACTTAACAACTGTTTGACTTGGACATATTGATGGTTGTGACTGAAGATACTTTCTTTCTTTTTAAAGATTTATTTTATTTATGCATACAGAACTGAGTTACAGGCCAGAGGTGCAGGAGCAGCGAAAGGACATACCAGAGACAGAGCAGGGGCAGGACAGGCAGACTGATGAAGCACATTGCTGAGGGGAGCAGCAGGTGGTCAGGAGAGGTCTGCTGTGCCATGTGTGTCACCTCCCTGACCGGGGATCAAACTCCCACTGAAGTGGCTGCTGCTAGCTTCATAGTGCTGTGCTTCAACCCAATGCACCACCAGGAAGGAAACTACTTGGGATACTTTCAACTTATAATAAGTTGAAAGTCTTTAACACCATCATAAGTCAAAGAATTTCTATATACACTCATATTAAAGAATATGTGCATGACTATTTACAATAGGTAAGCTATAGAAACAACCCAAAGGCCCAAAAATAGATGAGTGAGAACAAGAAGATGTGGTAGGTGATTATGCGATGACTGGGACTATTCCATACACACAAAGGAATATTACTCAGCAATCAAAAAAGATACAACTCATGCCATTTGCAGTAACTTGGATGGAGCTGGAAGGGATTATGCTCAGCGAAATAAGTCAGAAAGAAAAAGAAAATAACCGATGGTTTCACTTAGAGATAAGCAATCGGGGAACCAACAAGGGATCAGGAAAATAATAATAATAATAATAATAAATTAACAGGCAACTATAAATCGGAGACATTCTGCACGGGAGGAGAAGGAAGAGGGATCAAAGCAAGGGTGGGAGGAGCACAAGGGACTATGGTGATGGTGGTGGGAATTCTCTGGGGACCACACTTGAGGAGAAAGCAAATATTGTACAAAAATGACCAATGTTGTAAAATATATATATTAATTAATTAATTAAAGTGAAAATAACAGGTGCATGAATCAGACTGGGGAAAAAAGCCTGAAGTATTAACAGTGTTTGGCCTACACAGTAGCACTAAGATTTTGCCTTCTTAATAGAGTCCTATATTCTCTGAAAGTTCCACAATTTTATTTCCTAAGTAGTAATAAAGAGGTCGTGGGTACAGTACATTATTTTAAAAACAATAAATGTGAGGTAGTAGAAATGCTAACTCACCGTGTCGTGGCGATCATTTCACAGTACAAACGTGCACACGTTCAACTTACAGAACGGTGTGTGTCAATTATACCTCAATGAAGCTGGAAAAATTTTCAAAGTAAAAATAACATTAGTCAATTTTAAAATCAAAACAATACTTAAAATTTACACCTTCAACTTATACCGATAAAGGGAAATTGTTGCAAACACACATAAATAAATTTTATCTATGAATGATTGGACACATATGTCTAGAATAAAAGTTGCCAAATACCTTAAGATTAAAATATATAACATCATCAAGTAAAGTTTACTAGGTTGTACAGAGTTCACTAAGCTTTGAATTCTTGAAACCTTTAATATAATCCTTTTAGTTGCCTTAACGGAAAAATTATGTAATTATATCAAAAGGTAATAATCTCTACTAAAAACTTCCCCAAAAATATAAATTGAAGATGTTATTCCCTTTATAACAGAGATATTTGTTTAAACCCAACAATGAACTTCCTATTTAATAAGGAAGCAGCCAAAAATACCTTTTTATCACAATTTTATTTAACACAAAGACAAAACAGAAATACATAAGAAAAGACAAATATTTCTATAGCTATGATTTTATATTGAAAATAAACAGGTCAATTAACAGAACAAAGACATGTCGCCAAAAGACAAATATTTTCAACATTAATAGCATTCTAATGATACAGCTTCCTATACTGAGTAGCAAAACAAACGTTTAGACTAGAAAGAATCCATGTAGTAAGAGATATATAGATCTAAAAATAAGAATGCACGATACTTTAAGAAATCAAGAAACACGTGGATAATGGAGAGTTTTACCTCTTGATGGGAAGCGCGCAATCCTAAATCTTAAAGCGCTCGTTTTAGACCCAGGTGAACTGGAGCTGAAACACCATGAAGACAGTGACCTTATATGACACCTTCTTTAAAAAAATACTTTTTGAATATTAAAAATATATGTGGAAAGAAAAAAAGAACAGCAAAGACCAGCATGACACTGACTCGGTGAATTGAAATGCTAAGCTTCACTTAATCTATGGCAAAAGGACCTAGCGGCCAAGTGTTAGGATTACCAAGGAGAAAGAATGCTTTTCCTCAGTAATGAAAACACAAAGTAATGCCGTAGAGTGTGGCGAGGGCTGGGTCAGAGCTTTGCGAGCACCAGGAGAGCCCCCTTGGGCTAAAGGGCATTTTTAAGGAATCTAATTTTTCCAGGTTTTGAGGCAGAAGGGAAGAGGTGGCACTTATGAAAGAGGGGACAGTCACAACCACAAAGCATCACAAGATAAATGGCACAATCCAAGAACTGCAAGTGCGTCAACTCACACGGTATGGGTCTGCATTTTAAAAATCCAACGAGTTCCCTCCCTGATGGTGCAACAGGTCAAAGCGCAGCACTGTGAAGCTGGACTCAGCCACTGCAGCATGAGTTCAATCCCCAGCCAGGGAGGTGACCCACATGGCGCGGCAGCCCTCTCCTGTCCCTCCCACTGCTCCCCTCAGCAGTGTGCTTCCTCAATCTGCCTGTTCTGCTCTCCACTCTGTCTCTGGTGAATCCTCGCACCATCACACCTCTGGCCTGTACCCCCCATTCTTGTATGCATAAATAAATAAATCTTTTAAAAAAAAATCCAATGAAAAGCCAATATTTAAAATTTTTTTAAAGCTGACATTTCCGATGAGAGTCTGGATTACTGGCTTCTTTTGAAGTAGGCAATGGGACCCACTGGGCCCACATTCCCCCAAGGAAACGGCAGGCTGCGCCCTTTTCAGAGGCCAGTCACACAGCGGCCCCCCTTCCCTCAGCTCAGCCCACTTCTTGCCCTTCCCGGGTCGGAGGCACTCTCATTTACGACGCCTCCGAAAGGGGGCGCAAAGGTGATGGCAGAGAAAGCTATATTAGTAGGTGCATGTTTCCAGAGGTCAACCAGGCAGCGAGATGGAGAGCAGAGGAGAGGAGGAATTTAGGAGACCAGTGCAGTCCGCTAGAGTGAGTCAGTTAAAGATTACAGCGGGCGGCCATCATGAGGTACAGGGGCAGCCATCATGACGTACAGGAGCGACCATCATGACGTACAGGGGCGGCCATCATGACGTGCAGGGGCGGCCATCATGAGGTACAGGGGCGGCCATCATGAGGTACAGGAGCGACCATCATGACGTGCAGGGGCGGCCATCATGAGGTACTGAGGCGGCCATCATGACGTACAAGGGCGGTGCCAGCACCTCCCGCGTAAACTCCGCAGACGTGACGTGAGTGAGCCACTGAGCTCCTCCGTGGAATAAATGCGCACGGGGATGAAGGTCTGAAACTAAGCAGTGCTAGAGGTGGGAAGAAAAGGGCAGAAACGATTTGACCCAGGAAGGGGGAAAGAAGCTATAGGACAATTTGAAGGTTTCGGGTTTGAGTGACTAAGTGGTGCCGCTCAAAGTGGTGATGAACATGCCTGGAGGAAGGTTCAGCCTTCAATGTAGAAGTAAACTGCGGAGCCCACACACATAGCTTTCCCCCCCCACCCGCCCCAGTTAATTACCAGAGACTAACCCCGAACTCCCGCAGGGCAGCTCTCTCACAGCTGAACCATCAGGCGAAAATGAGAGACAGAAATGATGATATAAAGTGTTTTTACAGAATGAACAGCAACAGGAGGCTGAGATGCAGGGCTAGAGAACGGAATAAAATATTGCCACCAAGATTACAGAGTCAATAGCTTCGGATCTAAGAGCGTAATGATGAGCTATATAAGAAGAACACCAACATGCAGAAGTCTCTCGATGGGAAGGATATTCGTGAACACACTACACTGTTCCCACTCGGGGTTTCAGATGGCTAACCCCAAAAGTACACAGAGTAAAAGAATACAACGTTAATAGCAAAGATAATCATAAAATGTAAAAATAATTTTCTAAACATTGGCAGCTAGAAATCAGAACAAAAAAAAAAAAAAAGAGCTACTTCTCACTTTAAAAAGGACATTCTGCACACCTCCCCCACAGAAAAGACAGCATTCTACAACAAACATTTCTCTAAGTTAAAAAAAAATTAGCTTTACAGGAAACCCACTACCTTGTCTCTAAGTTCTCAAATGTATTATGGCAAGGCTGTTGAAATTAAAAACACACACACACACACAAGTCTCCACATTGACATTTCGGGAATCACCGCAGCAAACACAGAAAGCTACTAAAAGTTGCTTCTCTGTGGCACGTGTCATAAAGATCAAATGTCTAAGTGTGGCTGGGACCGGGCTGAGAGGCAGAAGGCAGCGTGAGTGGGAGCCACACATAGGTTTCTGACGGCCCATCCTGCGGCACAGAAAAAGTGGACAGAACTTAGCGGCGTGGAGGAACAACACATCCTTCAGCCGGCAGCCGCTGGGCTTTGGTAAAGTCTAATAAGAAGTGGAGAGGAGACAGTGAGGTAGAAATCTCTGTCGAGCAGTCAGAGACGGAGCCCCCAGAGCAGAGGATGGGTGACGTCCGACTATGCAAGTTGAGGAGCCCAGCTGAAGGGGACCCCACCGCAGCACAGAGGTCCAGCAAGGAAAAGCACACAGCGGCACACAGAGCGCAGACGCAGAAGTGACGCCGTGTGTTTGAAGAAACGCATGTCAAAGACAGTGTCATGTAGCACCTAGATGTTAAGCAAAAGCAAAGCACTTTAAAAATTCGATCTTGTGTGGATTTTAAGGACTGTACTCAAGATTTGTTAGAGAAAACTGAAACATCCCAGAATAAGGTCAAGAGTCACGTAAATGATGATGGATGAGTAGATCTGTGTGCACAAATGATGACACATGATTAAGTCAACCAACAGGCAAAAGTGTTTATAAAACGTTAAGTTAAAAAAAAGAGCATACATGGAGCTTTCCTACGACCCAGCAATCCCACTCCTAGGTATCTACCCAAAAGACACAAAAACACTGACTCAAAAAGATACCTGCACCCCCATGTTTATTGCTGCTTTATTTGCAACAGGAAAGACATGGAAACAGCCCAAATGCCCAAAAGTAGATGACTGGATAAAAAAGATGTAGTACATATATACAGTGGAATATTACTCAGCAACCAAAAAAGAGAAACACAGGTCTTTT